TGCACAGATTGAGATTAATTTGCGAGACAATTTTTTAAGCCTAATTAGTCCATGATTTGACATTGTTGTGCTACAGTAAATATATGCTAATGATGAGTTAATTAGGTTTAATAAATTCGTTTCGCGGATTACTGAGGACTTCTGTAATTTGTTTTATTATTAGTATCAAACACTCAATGTGACACCCCATATAATATTAAATGTGACACGTTTCGTGGATTCAACCCCCCCCCCCCCCCCCCCACCCCCACACACATGTGCTACAGTAAATGCGGATTACCAGGTTGTTCACAGATCCTTGTGCTAGTTATGCAAAGTCGTTATCTGAATGTGTGGGGTTGTTCACATATCCTTGTGCTAGTTATGCAAAGTCGTTATCTGAATGTGTGGCATATGAAAACCATAGTTTCCTACTTGATGGCAGCACAATTAGTTACACAAATTTCCTTCTTTCCGTGTCATGTTAGCTGGAACCCAACAATTAATATTATTTTATCCCTATTTGCTTTAACAACTTCAACCGTATTTTTCTCTCACAGTAAATCAACACAAGCATCGACATAATTTAAATTTCAGAGCTGACGTGCGTGCGCGTGCTCAGTGCTCACACTGAGAATGAATAATGAATGGCGTAGGATCCATCGGAACATATATCCCGGCGCGCTGCCGTCCAAATTAATGCTTCCACTTCCGCAACAACTTGGCATTGACAGCATTAATTCCGATGGATCGTACACTATTCATTATTCATTCTCAGGTGTGAGCACTGAGCACGCCCACGCACGTCAGGCTCAGCAGAAATCTTCTGTTGACGTACATGCCGGCCGGCCGGCCCATTCCCAGTTCCATCACCCATCCAAACAAAACATTGCTAGCTACTCCTACGTGAAGGACCACCCTACCCTACCTACTCTTCTTTTTTTTTTGAAAGAAAGGATAAAAGACTTGCTTTAAGTTTGATCATTCTTCTTCTTTTTAATTGTGTAGTCATGTAAGTAGTTCTTTTTTATACACTATGTGTAGATAATTTGGAATGGATAGAGTAATTAATTAGCTCAAATAACTTTATACTCTTACTACTGATTGCAGCCATGAGCTATATTTGATTTGTGAGTCTAATGAAAGTCCACGTGCATGTTTATTTGTGGTTGTTCACCTATCCTTGTGCTAGTTATGCAAAGTCGTTATCTGAATGTGTTGCATATGAAAATCATAGTTTCCTACTTGATGGCAGCACAATTAGTTACACAAATTTCCTTCTTTCCGTGTCTTGTTAGCTGGAACCCAACAATTAATATCATTATACCCCTATTCGCTCGAACTACTTCAGTAGTATTTTTCAGCAAACGAACAGTATTTTTCTCTCACAACAAATCAGTATAAGCATCAGCATAAGCCAAATTTCAACGAAACGAACAGGGCCAAATGCGGGAAGAAAGGGTATAAGTGCTCAAACTGTCAAAGCTGCAGTTATGAAAAAAAAACAAATTATAACATATATAATCTGCTAACCGCCAAATGAGGGTCGTCAACGGTAACTGAAATGATGGATCAGCACAAAATACTCCTCCTTCCAAGTGTTAGTGCATGAGTGCAGTATGGAAAAAAGATCATACTCGCACCATTTGGGAAAAAAAACAAGGCGTCTTTTGTTTTGAAAAAGTAAAACTTTGGGATGTTCTGATTTCTGCTTTTGAGCGAAAGCAAACCGGAAGTTCCATGTCCTGCCGCTCATGAATGGAGAGGATAATAATACAGTACTCCCTCCGTCCCAGTTTATTTGCACGTCTTGAGTTCAAAACTTTTCTTAAATTAATCGATCATGTTTGGAGTAGTACTGGTATCTGTAACCTGCAATTCGTCTGAGGGAATAAAAGTTCGATTAAAAAAAAAGAAATGCAAAAAGTGCAGCGGAGTCTACTCCACACATTCAGTTCATCCACTGTTGCTTTTTTGTCTGTTGATGTGCCGGTGAAATTGTGGCCACACATTTCTACTGTATACTGTTGTTGGCTTTATTTTCTTGCTGCGTCAATCAACATTGTTTCAGTGACAACAGCTGCACTTTTTAGGGGTAGAATTGTAATTTGCCAGCTACAGTATTTTGCCCATTTCAAATCCTAAACGTGTATTTAAATTGGGATGGAGGGACCTAGTAAAAACAGTACTTGAAACTGATACAGATACAAACTGCTCACTCATGCAACTACAGTACTGAAAAAATCATGGCAAGATAGAGTACCTTTGATGTGACAAGTAAGATGCCTCAAGAAAGATGGCCCATGTATACGTGGACGGTGGGCCTGATTCTCCGAGCAGCTTGATACTGATTGGTCGATCATCAGCCTTTGCACTGCCGCATCGCATTCACCACCGGCATGTCACGGGAGGCTGGTGAACTGTCTACTCCGTATAACATTAACAGTAGGGTGTGCTTTTAATTAATTTGCAGAGACCTCCATCTGTCCCGGATGATCTAGTCTAGATTCTCCACCAAACAGGTTTAATTCATGATTGGAATAGTCCTTCCATCACTGTAGTATCATGTTTTTTTTTATTGTTTCATGCATGCATTTAGAGGAAACATAATCATGCATAATACAGGGAGTATTTGTGTTGGAAAAACAGACGAATGCCGCTGTCTGTCTCTCTTTTTCATTATTTATTTATTTAATTATTTATAAGTCAACGGCTCATAAAAAATAATATTGTCATTGCACCATATCGGATGAATGAAAATGGAAGCCACTAGACACTTGGTTTTTCGTTACTGTGTGTGTAACCCTTGACGTTATTACCATTTCACTGCAGGAAGGTTAGGACCAGGCATGAATAAAACAGGGCTGATTTTAATCAATGGCCGCCTTGAGAAGCTTGCCTATGGAACCTCGGTAAGGCAAAATCACATCTTTCTCTCGTAAACACTGATTGCAGAGGCTGTCATAGTTATTAGACAAATTTTCTCAAGGGCATCGTTCTTATATATAACTTTTAAATTGTTGAGTACCATTATGAAAACGTGAATCTTTATTTGTGGACACCGTAACCACTAAAATATAACCATTTATCCATTATCACCAGAGAGGTATGAAATGCCTCTTTTACCCTTCATATGCTATCTTCTTTCTACTCTTTTTACCTTTTCTCCTACCGGCGCCCTCTCCCCATGGTGCTAGTGGCCGGATGCCGCGGCTACTCACCTTTGCGCTAGCAGCGGCGCACCACACTTCTAACTCCCACATTGTTGAACACGCATTGGCGAGCTCTGCTGCTTGCTTTGACCGAGCCCCCACAGCCGCGGCTTTGCCTTGCTCGCCTTCGAGCTCTTTCTTATTCGTGGGTCACTATGCTTGCGCTCCGTGTGCCAGCATCCTACGCACCACTCACCTATCCAACCCCCCTCTGCTGCTCCACCCTACTCATCGTTGAGCTCTACCCCATGTGTGGGTTACTACACCTATGCCCCCACGCATGGCGTCCTCCACCCCACTTGCTGGCCTAGGGTTTCGCTACCACACCTCCATCCCACTCACTATTGAGCCCCTAGCCCATGTGTGGGTTGACACGCCACTTGCTTGTCTGCGCCTTGGCCTTTTCCCTACTTACTTAGCGGGCGAAGCCCCACAGTGGCACCTCTAGGCTATGCATCGGTCTCCGTGCCAATAACAAAGCTTCAACCCACGTGTCATATGTCGTACACCACCATTTTAGCATCTTAGCTCATCCTCTCCATGGCTCTATCATCAACCTCTAGGAGCAGAGAGAGGGGGGTTGCTCTAGCATATCTTTGGCGGGTGTAGATAGAGGGTAGAGGGGAGGAAGGTAAAGTGGAGGACAAAAGAGACATTTTATACCTCCTCTCTTTATATGATGTTATTATTTTAATAGTTGCAATGTCTATGAGAAAATTTATACAATTTTGTAATGGTAATAGACAAATTTAAGAGTTACATGCCTATATCAGCAAATACCCCGTGAGAAGGTGAGCAAAATTTGTCTAATAATTATGAATGGTTGTTTCGAAACTTTTACATAAGCGGAATAAATCTCCTTCCTCTAAAAATGTTTTCCTATAGACACTGATTGCAATCTTTTTCATTAAGTTGGTGGTTTTCTGTTCCTTCTATTGTCATGCGTTCACTTATAATTAGCACAAACTCCTACTCGATCAGTTCACTTATATTCAGTACATATGTATTTCATTCAATCCGGACTTGCTTACAAGTTTACTTTTGAATGAATAAAACTGTATGTAAAACAAAGGCATACGTGACCCAAGACAACATGCTGATGTCGACGCTGTCCGTGCGTGAGGCCGTGTACTACTCGGCGCAGCTGCAGCTGCCGGACACGATGCCGTTGCCGGAGAAGCGGGCGCACGCAGAGCGGGTGATCCGGGAGATGGGGGGCTCGCCGACGCCATGGACACGCGCATCGGCGGCCGGATCACCAAGGGCATCAGCGGCGGGCAGCGGAAGCGGGTCAGCATCTGCATCGAGATGCTCACGCGTCCGCGGCTGCTCTTCCTCGACGAGCCCACCAGCGGCCTCGACAGCGCCGCTTCCTACCACGTCATGAGCCATATCGCTCGTGTAGCCGCCCGCGACGGCATGACGGTCGTCGCCGCCGTGCACCAGCCCAGCGGCGACGTCTTCGAGCTTCCTCTTCCATGGCCTCTGCTTGCTCGCCGCCGGAAGGACGGTCTTCTTTGGGACCATCTCTGATGCCACCGAGGTGACCCTGCTTCGTCGTCTTCTTCAGGCTATCTGAATAGCGAATTGTCAGCTGCTGACTTGTGCTAGCTCGTTCCTTGCATGCATGCAGTTCTTCACTCTGAACGGCTTTCCATGTCGACACCTGAGAAGCCCGTCAGATCACTTCCTGAGAACAATCAACAAAGACTTTGATGAGGTATATATACTCACTCCTATGGCTTATTTAGTACATATATATAATGTGCAACTTCACTTGTCATCTGTCTGAAATGATTTTATACATAGGAAACCGTGGAGAGCTCTAAAACTAAAAGAAAAACAGCAGCTGAAGCAATAGACATTCTGGCGACTGCATACAGATCCTCCGATTATTTCGAAAAAACGACAGACCAAATTGTTGAAATGAAAAACATGGTAAGTTGAGCACCCGTCGCTACTAGAAACGAGAATACCGGTGTGACGAGTCTTTTCGACCGTTGTTCAATAAACCAACAGGATAATTGTAATAGGTTTGACGGTGACATAATATCTAATACACATGAAAAAAACCAGTGACTATAAAGAGCAATAATGAGAAATGTATAATTGACCAATCTAAGGATATTTTGACTGCATAAAAAATTACAGGATGTGTCCTATATGTGTATTACAGGATGGAGCTTCATTTAGGAGGAGAGAACAAGCAAGCTTCGCCACAAAGCTCCTTGTGCTCACAAGGAGATCATTCCTGAATATGCACAGGGACATAGGATATTACTGGATGCGTTTGGCCATCTATATGGGCATCGGCATATGTCTAGGCACTATCTTCTACCAAGTTGGCTATAGCTACAGTTCTATCCAGGTACAAACTGATTAACATGATTCAGGTAGGGCTATATATAGGACAAATATTTATTTGTCTATGTAAAAGTGATGATGTCTTGGAATTTGCAGAGCCGATGTTCAATAATAATGTATACAGTTGCACTTTTAACATTCATGGCTATTGGAGGATTTCCATCTTTTGTAGAAGACGTAAAGGTTGACTCTTCACCCTTCCAAAAGTTGCTTATTTAGTTTCTTGCTCAAGACAAATTTATTCAAAATTACCATGAATTAACTTTCTGATATTGAAAATAAACAATACAAAATGTGTGGGATCCACTCATTTTGTATTAGGAGAAACTCTAACATGTAAGAGGGACCATACATAAACTTTTTTTGGGGGTGTGTGTGGGGTGGGGGTGGGGGGAGGGTTCTATTTTCCAATATGAATTGCTACACTTTTACCTTTAAATTCTAAACCAATTAGTGCAAGTGAAAAGTAAGTTCAATTTTTTATTAGCACATTATTGCTTCCGGTTTTATGACCTCAATTTTGCGCACATTTTTAACTACCACCACCATTCCCAACTTGTTTCAGGTCTTCAGAAAGGAGAGGCTTAGTGGCCACTACGGCGTGTCAGAATTTGTGATCTCAAACACCCTCTCAGCTACTCCATACCTGTCTGTCATTATTGTTGTATTACCGAGCAATGCTATACTATCTCTCCGGACTAACAAAAGCCGTGGATCACTTTATCTATTTCGTCATGGTCGTTTGCATATGTTGCCTTCTAGTTGAGAGCATGATGATGGTTATCGCCGCGATTGTTCCGGACTTCCTTATGGGAATCATCGTTGGAGCTGGAGTGCAGGGGGTGATGATGCTCAATGGGGGCTTCTTCCGCCTTCCTAATGAGCTCCCAAAGCCTGTATGGAAGTACCCTTCCTACTACATCTCCTTCCACAAGTATGCAGTGCAAGGACTCTACAAGAACGAGTTCATGGGACTGTCATTCCCAAGTGATCAGCTGGTTGAGTTTAATGTCACCATCAGTGGCATTCAGGTCCTCAAGGATAAATTGCAGGTGGAAATGGGTTACTCGAAATGGGTAAACCTTGCCATCCTTTGTGGAATGATGGTGATCTATAGGATGATGTTCTTCGCTATAGTCAAGATTACCGAGGAAATTCGACAAAAAATGGGAGGCAAACGAGGATGTGTTAGATAGTAGTTGCCTTCTGTATATGTCTTCCATTTTCCCATTCTTGTATCACTTTACTGAACTAATTGTATAAACTGCAAATAATGCTTTGGTTGTCTTGCGATGACATCTTAAAATGGATGATATGCTATATATATAATTTTTGAGCTCCATCATGGTATCCCATGATGTTACCCAAAGAAAACTTTACCATCGCTATGACATATATAGCTCGCCGGAGAGATGAGCCTGAACACGTCGCCGACAAGAGCTTACTGCACGCATGAGCGCGCACACTCACATGATCACAGTGGAGAAAGTTGAACACAATAAAAGCGATGGCTGGGCAACTGAAGTCTTATTTGGATACTTGCGTATCCACCTCAATCCATGTATATTGGAGTGGTTTGATATTAAATTTAGTTTAAATTCCAAGGTCCATCCACCTCAATCCCCGAGGGCAAGGATAACAATATAGCCGGTCGCTGGCTGTAAGGTTTCTTATCTCTTCACTATTAATACATGGCCCACTTGTCCCTCTAACAAGGTTTCTTGGTTCTTTTGCCTAAGCCGGTTGTAAGCTTACAGCCCGCTTCTCCTCTCTCCTTCACCTCAGCATTTAGTCAACTTACAACCTCTTATTATACTTGCTCTGAAGTAAGTTTGTAGCTATTGTTCATTAGTTCACCAACTAGACAACCGAAAACGTAGCGATACTTCCAAGGTCAAACACGCTTAAAAAACTAGCTGCGGCTACCATTTCTACTAGCAACCCAAGCGGCCCCAATGTGATTTACTTTTATGTCTAGAGTAAACTGCCACTATGGGTATGTATGCTAACTTCTATTTACTGAGGACCAAACTCTTGCCAAGTAGTAGTACGAGAAAATTCAACCATGAGGATGTATATGAATGCGTTTTGATTCTTGATAAAGAGGGTGTAGAACTTCCCAACACATATGGCTGTTGCCTGTTGCTTGGCTAGATTTGGATACGAAAAGCGAAGCTTAACTTCTTGGATCATGCATGTGAATTGTGATGAACTTTATTAGCTGGGCTAGAAATAAAGCATACGGGCATACGTCGCTATATATCAATGTCTATGTTTGGTGCAAGTCATGGTCATAAACATATGTGTATACCTAATCTTATGTAACGCGCAACAACACATTACTAAACAAAAACTTTCGAAATTGGTGGTGCATCTTATTATGATACAATTATGTAACCACACCCGTCATAAATAGCGTATAATGTCATAGATTCCTTGCAATCAAATCCCCTTGCTTTGATATAAGTAGCAATCTTAGAATTTATTACCATACTTATTACAAGCTGCACATTAGTAATAACCATATTGATGTCCAGTTCGTCCTATGCTTAGGAACAAATATATATGGAGTACTTACTTGCAATAAACTTTTTTTGCGATGAAAGAAGAATTATATTATATAATAGCTGGGTACATCAACACGTTAAGCGCTTTGGATTACACGAATATCCAGAAACTGAGTCTAATCTAAATTGTACCCACGCTGTGAATAGCTCCAGATCTCAAAATCAAACCTGTACCACGCTTTGCAGTATGGATGACCGCACAGACAAACACTCGGCAAAAGGCCTGAGAACAGATGCCCAATGAACGACGTCCAACATTCATGTAGGCAGAGTTGAGAAACTTCTTCTTTCCGTCTATTGTAGAAACATATGTGCAGACAGGGACGGATTTAGCTGGGCCCTACCAGAAGCCCTCCGAAATCTCTCCTATGAGTTTTGGACATGGTGAAGTGGAACAAGAAAAGAGAGCTAGAAGAAACAGAAGAAAAAAGAGTAAAGAAGAAGAAAAGGAGAGAGAAAGAGTGAGGTGGATGAGTCCCCTACTTTACTAGGCTGTGTTGGCTGGTGTGTGTGTCGTCGTAACGTGATTACAACCACACTTACGCTGGCATTACACGCCTGAATCTTTCGTACCAAAAGCCACGTGACACTGTATAAGCAAAGTAACAAAAATCCATTCTGCAAAATACACACGGAAACTTAGCGTGTGGCCAAGTGTCAGCACACCATTGGCTCCAGGCCTTCGGCAACGTGTACACCGAGCTTGACTTGACCTTGACTCCATGCCTTTACATATTTGGATTTAAAGAGAGAGAAAAAAATCATTGAAATGAATCCCAAAAGGTCCAAGTGTCTTCTTGAAAATCAAAACACATATAGCAACAGTGATGGCCACCTAGCTAGCTAGTTGTTGCTCTGACATGATGCGACCCATTATTTGTTAATCGGGAGACAGAGCAAAGGCAGGTGAGTTTCCATGAAACTTCATAGACTGTGATGTGGGTCAGTGAACAAGAGCAGTATGCTTGGCAACCAAGTTCTTAGCAGCTTCCTTTGCCGTGATATTATGTGATAAGCCATGCTGATTCCACGAGTAAGGACAATGACCAAGATAAGGATATGCGTTAACAACAAGAGCTATCTTTACTAATTGATTTATTCCACAAGACGACCATGACTAGAATATTTCTGTTCTTGACTTCTTATTAATGGAAATGGATTCCAAAAAAAACATAACTAGAACGTTAGAAATACACACATGCTACTAGCATATGTTAGTTAATACCGTCAGTTCTCTCTTAGATTAATTAGCTTGTTTCTGAGATCAGTCGTCTTTGATTTGGACGTTACCTAGCTAGAGTTAGATGAATTTATTCTTCCATGTGTTCATTTCCCACTAATGTGTTGACATTTTACTATGCAACATACATTAGTCAATAGTAATGTTGGCACCCTATAGATGCATGTATATCTTAAAAAAAATTAAATACATATAGATATAGCAGTCAGTCTTATAACGTACGTGGTCAAGAGGTCCAATACAAGTCCTAATACGTTATATGTAGGGCAAGAAGTCACAAACGAGCGCTAATAAGCCGCTAAGCTATCTAGACACCCCTACTCCAGCATGTTCCTCTCAGTTTTCAAGTAACATTGATGATACGCGTAGGAAAGGTAGTGCAGGTGTCATTAGATATATTAGTTAGTACTCCATATAGGGGCGAAGCTAGTATTAAATATATGGTGGTGCACAATGTTAACAGCAGTGTAGAAATATGTCTTCTTTCAATTGATTTATATGGTCAAAATAAGCTACTTAATATTAAATATTTTTTCTTGCCTAGTGCCGGTGCACCACCCAAACTCAACGTGGCTTCGCGCCGGAGTAATTCATTAGTAAGCAATGCAAATAAAATAATGAGAAGCAAAATTAAACCGACAAATTAAGAGCGACGTTATCGTCAGCTTGACTCTTGCCGCTGCTGGTAATACACGGAGTGAAGTAAGTGAACTACCAGTGGACACCTACGTGGAGTACGTCGTGGACACGGCACGCACCGCGTGATGTGCGTCATCGTCCAGTCTCGTCATCTAGTCTAGACAGAATATAAATTCGAACATATCCTCTCCATGACTCCATCATTTCATCTCCTTGTCTGTGTATATATATATAGCTAAGCATGCAACTTCAGTCACATGCCACACACATATATCCGATCGAGCACTACTTCTGTACGTGAGCAGCAGAATGAAGCGTGCCAGAGATGACGACGCCGCCGCCAGCGGCAGCGCCGCCATGGGAGACGACGACAGTTGTAGCTACCCTCATCACGGAGACGGAGAAGGCGACGACGAACAAGAAGAACAGGACGAGCGACGACAACGGACTGCATGCGACGTCCTGCTCTCCCTCTCCCTGTCGCGCTGGCCATCATCTTCTTCCAACAGCACCAGCTGCAGTGTCCAGCAGAATGATCATGCTGCCGGCACGGCGGCCCCACCACCTAATAAGCCCCGTCGTCGCCGGCGTCGGGGTACGGATGAGGAGTTCGAGTGCCAGACGTGCGGGCGGCGGTTCCCGACGTTCCAGGCGCTGGGCGGCCACCGGACCAGCCACCTCAGACGGCCGGCGACGACCAACAAGAAACCACGGCCAGAGGCGTTAGTGCAGGTCCACGAGTGCGCCATGTGTGGGCTGGGCTTCTCCACGGGCCAGGCGCTTGGTGGGCACATGAGGAGGCACCGTCTGGGCCGGGCCGATGGCATGGGTTTTCCTTCTGCTGATGTGGACCTTACGCAGATCATCGTGCATGGAAGGCCCGCTACCGCTTCCACCTCCCTGCAGCTTCTCAACCTGTTCGTGTAGTGTTCATCAAGATTAATAAAAAAAAACCTGTTCGTGTAGTGTTAGATACAACATGTCTATCTAGAGTTCAAAAAAAGGGTACAACACGTCTAGATGATGTGACCAGTTCAGTGAATTGTAACTAATATGATATGTAAGGATGGTCTAAACAGCATATAAGGTACACTAGTATAGATTATTTATGCTTGATAAAAGGTACTCCTCCATACTGTTAATTTAAGTCGTTTTGGACAATGTTTGGTCAAACATTGAAAATATAAATTATGAATAACTTTTAAGTTGTTGAGTTAGGAAATGTGAAAACCATATGAATATATTTGTCTCGAAAAGTACTTTCATAAAAATATCACTACAAAAACTTGTTAATCCGTGACGGATTCTTGGTGACGGATTTACAAATCGTCACTTACAGACGCAATCTGTGACGATAATTTATTTTTCGTCATGGTTGTGTACCAGTGGATATTCCCGGCCCGCTAACTCATGACGATTTTATCCGGATCGTCACAATGTATGATTTTAAATTCGTTATACTCTAGTTAGCCTAAAACAATATAATAGGCCCGCTATCAATATTTAGTTTATAGAAAAATAAAAAATGTGATTGCAAAGAGAATCAAACCCAAAAGACGATTTGTAAAACTATTTGAACAAATTAATTTTGTTACTTTGTTACATGTATATGATGCATATGGCAAAACTAAAAATATTCTCCATATATATGGTGTGGATGGGAACAAAAAAATTCTGTAGCATGTGGGGCTTGAACCCAGCACCTGTAGTAAAGTAGCAAACTTTCTAACCATTTGAGCTACCTGTTCTATTTTTCTACATGTGCACTTAAATGTTTTTATTTATTTACTGGCCCAGCATTCAAGTCGACGTTACCCATTCACTCGAGTTGGCCCAACATCCAGTCGGCGTGGCCCATTCATCACTCGAGTTGAACCAGCCTTTGGTAAAAGGAAGAAGTCCACTTTACCTCCCTCATCTTTTGCGATAGTCAGCTTTGCTTCCCTGATCCCGAAAACCAGAGAAACGACCTCTCTCATCTATCCAAACCATGCACATGACCCCCAGTCCTGGTTTCAGCTGTGATTTCGGCTTTGTTGGCGCCACGGTGGATATGGGCCAAGCTGACTCAGCCCCAGGCTAAATAGAAAGGAAGAGGTCCCGTGAGCCAAAAAAAATCCCCCCAAATTACAACCTTAGCTCGCACACAGGCGGCCTTGTTCGTCCATGCCGGAGACGACGCCCACGCCGGCAAACGGAGAAGGGGAGCAGCGGCGAGGCGGTGGGATCTGGGCGCTGGTCGGGCGCAGGGCGCAGCGCGCAGGCAGGAGCATCCCGGGCGGGCCCCTGCTCACGCACCCTAGCCACCCCGCCGCTGACGCTAGTTCTTCCTTGCCTCCGTCTCCCATGGACCCTAGCACGTCGCGTGTTCTCCTGCCGCAGCCAGTTTTCGCGGGAGAGCCACCGCTAGGAGAGAGTGGGCTGCCGCTGATCTGGTGTCCTACTGCAGTATGGGGAGGATTTTAGAGGTGTTGTCAAAATCAGACAAGCACCCAATGGAAAGGTTCTTCAAATGCCCGAGGAAGTACAAGAAGGTTTGGTTTCCTTATTGAAATTGCCGATGGTAATTGAAATTTAGGGTTTCTGATTTATTCTGTTGGTTTGGCATTGCAGTTTCCTCTTTGTGATTTCTACATGTTCGAAGAAGAATATGCCAACTTTCTTGTTAATTATGGGATGCTTCCAAAATCTGAGATGTGTCATTACCATCCATTGGAGATGACAGATGATAGTGTGCAAGCTGAGATGTATGAACATGTGATGAAGAAAGAAGCTGCTGGTGTGTATGAGCACAGGAGGACTATAGCTTCGGCCAAGAAGGGAGGCAAGAAGAAGCAAAGACATTTGAATTGGATGATGTGTGTTGGTGTTGCTGTCCTAGTGTTGTTAGGTTTCAATTCTGCCATTCTCCTTGTGTTGGTTGTGATGCAAATGTATAAGTAGTCAATGTTTGCCAGCATCGGCAGGATGTTACCCTTTGTAATGGCATGAATCAAATTCTCTTCTTTTTTTGCCAACAAGCTGTCTCTTGTCGTGCTAGAAAAGAAACAAAGCAATACATGCTGAATCTTATATTTGCACTATGTAGGAACCAATGCATACACCATAATAATGTCAGATAACATAGGCAAATAATTGCACTATGCAGGAACCATACAGATAACATAGGCATGTACTCACAGATAACACAACACTGACGAATGGATAAAAGTGCGAATAATTATCATACATGGCATAAGTAGCAAATAGATAAAAGCCAGATGTTTGGCATAACACATAGTTTGGCATATATAAAAGGTAATCAACCACAGAACTTAAGTTTCCTGCCTACATAATTATTCAAGTTTGGCATACCGCCAGCAGACTGTACACATCACAGCCTATCAGATTGCCATGGAGGAAACATTTGGAGTGGAGCAATTCCAGATTGCTTTGGAGCAGGCTTGGGCTTCTTCTTGGCTGGTTCTTGAGTGACACGATCCACGATCTTGATCCCTTGATTAACTGTACATGCACACTAGAATTAACATTGGAAGTGGGCACTCTAGCTTGCAGGTTTATTGTAGCTGACCCAGAAGGAATTGTTGAAACCCTTGCACGTGCACTTGATTTGACGATGTTCTGTGAGTTTGTTGCCTTTGCCTACATAAGTCAGATGAAGCAAGACGTACATGATGTTCGAAGAATGAATTTAAAATACAAGATGCATAAGTTAAAACTTTGAGATATGGGTAAACTTACCTTTTTGTTGCTCTGTGCAGTAGATACATCAGATGTGGAACTCCTTTTTGTACCGCTTATGCTGCTCTTTTGTGTGTTGGACAGCAGAACAATAGCATTTTGGTTACTTCCAGCAGCTGACTGAGATCCTGTTGGCTGTGATCTTGCAAATGACTCATTTCCTTTTGGCTGTGAGCTACCTCCGGCTGACTGAGATCCTCCTGCCTGTGAACTTCCTGCTCCACTTATATTGGTACATGTTGTCCTGTTGTGCCCAGGCAAGTGGCATTTGCTGCATTTAATAACAGTTCCAGTTTTTGGCATTTTAGTGGCCTTTCTAACTTCGTGGGCTCCCTTCTCCTCTCGAAGATTTGGCCCGCTGGCATCTTCACATAACCGGGAGCTCTAAGGGGTACCCTATCGATGATGAGGCCAGCTATTCATACCCTCAACTGGATTCAAGCAATGGCTGTATGTTTGTTTGAAATGGTACACAAAGTAGCAGTCGGCCACATATTCATCTAGGCAGTTGGTCTTGAACAAAATACAAGAAATGGCATGGCAACATGGAAGTCCAGACAATTGCCAATACCTACATGAACATGTCTTTGATACCAAATCCACTGTGAACCCATTGTCGTAATGCTTAACTTCATATTTCTCTTCCCCATTGTAGATGGCATGGCAGTGTGCAGACAAAGATATATAGACATTTAATTTTTTATTGATGTTTGGGCATATAACACTTGTCCACTTTCCTAATTTAGTTCTCTGTTCTTGATCCTCACCATTACTTTCCTTCTAATTGTTTCTAGCATGGTGATTATTGGGAAGAACCTAGCCTCAATGATCCATTTGTTGAATGACTCACAAATATTATTATCTACTGAGTCACAGTTAGAGCCCAACCTGAACCAAGCTCTGCTCCAATGCTGTGGATGAGTGTTCAGAATAGCTTGTGCCCCTTCTCTGGTTTTTTGTGCTAGTCTCGCTCTTGCCAAGTTGAAAAGCATAAGGCAAGGTGCTTTAGCACACATCCAAAACCTTTTCTGGTAGTCCTTCATGGGAAACTCCTTCTTCCAGTTGGCATAAATGTGCCTAGCATAGTTTCTATGTTCAGCTTCTGGTGCCCATTTGTTAACTGCATTAAGAATTCCCTGCACAAGTTGGAAAAATTATAAAGCATCTACCATCACATGTTTAGAATTGTGAAAACAACAAAAAGGATACATCTGGTTACCTTTTGTTGGTCTGAGATGAAAACCCATTCCTTTCCTCCATGCACACCAACATCCCTAAAGAGCAGATCACAGAACCAATCCCAATTTTCATTGTTCTCCTTGTCCACAACAGCCCAAGCAATAGGATACATCTGGTTATTAGCATCCCTCCCAACAGCACAAAGAAGTTCACCATTAGTTGCTCCTTTGAAGAAACAACCATCTAACCCAACAACCTTCCTGCAACCAGCTTTGAACCCTTCTTTACAAGCATGCAGACATATGTACATTCTTCTAAAAATAGGAGGCTCTACATTATCTTCCTTGTTAACAATAACAGTGCTTCCTGGGTTGCTTCTGAGAAGCTCCATCTGGTAGTCATACAGCCTAGAGTACTGCCCTTTACTTGCATCCAATGCTTTCTTCATCACTAGTGCTTTTGCTCTCTTTAGCTTGGACATAGAAACTTTGGCAAACATTTCTTCTTGAACTGTCTGCAACATATGCCCAAGTTTCCAGCATGGGTTGGCAAAAATGAACTTCTCATATTTTTTAGCAATTACAGTTGAGGTGACTAGTTTGTTGTCTCTTCTTGGTGGACACATGTGATTATTTACAAATGTAGATATCTGCCAGCTATCAGACCTAGAAGTATTTGACAACAAACATACCCATGGACAACCTTTCCAGTCACATTTGGCCCTCACCCTCTTTGGATCATCCTTAGCAAAGACAATAACCTTTCTCTCATCCAGGCCATGTTTAATTACAGCCTTCTTGAATTGCTTCTTAGAACTAAACTTCATTCCCAACTTAAAATTGATAATAGGATTCTTCTTGTTAAATCTTGGATGCATGCTACCTTGCCCTTCATCAATGATTACGCATCAAGATCTTTGTCTACATATGGAGTGCAGTTGCCATCATCCTCATCATCTTGCCCAGTTCCAGGCCTAGATGCAACACCCTCATATATCACATCATCTAAGCTTGTTGCCTCACCCCTCTTGAACTTCTTCTTGAAATCCTTAAATCTCCTATGTATTTGCTCTGCTTCTTCATCATCACCTGAACTGCATGAGTCTCTAGGAATGTACTCACTGTCAGTGTCAGACTTCTCTTCTACATCAGTGTCAGACTTCTCTTCATCATCACCTCTCGCTGTCTCTCCAGGCATGTGCTTTGCTTGTTCTTTCCCTTTACTTGGACTACTGTAAAATTCTCTAACAAGGGCAACTTGCTTCTCTACTTCTTCTTTGCTTTCATATTTTCTCCAAACAGCCAAAGGATGCAGATCTTCATCTTCTATGTCATCATCCTCTGAGCCAGCTTCCATCTCTCCCTCATACTCACTTGCTTCAGCTATTGCATCCAGCGCGTGATTTTCAACAAACACATCGGCAACACCATCTTCAGTAGTGTTGTCAGACATGTACTAGCACACTTTGTCATCAACTAGAGCTCTTAGGCCTGTACTCATGTTTGTCCCTGGAAATAGCCAATGCAACATTGTGCCTTCTTTGACATTGCAATGGTCACGGAGATGACCAACAACTTCAGGCAGTGACATCTTATCTCGGTCTGTAAAAGACATAGCTTCAGTTCCTCTATCATAAAACAGTCTATCGCTTTTCCTCACGAACTCCCCATTAAAATGGAACCGAACAGGGAGCAAGTCACAACCATCCATTGCTAAGCACCTGAAGCCTACATGCAAAACATACATGCTATGCGGTTCAGTATTGATCAAATTGGTCCAAATATGACTACAAGTGCTACATAAAGGCGCCTGTTGGCCTTAAAATATGACGAACACTATAAAGCAAAGGCTATAATCATAGTCAGATGTACCAATCACTAGTTAAATAACACAAATTCCAAGGGAATCAAGGAATCCAAAACAAAAACAACTCAAAACTACACAGATCCATTTGTGCCTTACCGCTCACCCTGGTCAGCACAAATCCTGTGCTTCACTGCTTGCGGCGACCGGTGCCCGAGCAGCGGCAATGCTCCTACCTGCGCGCTGCACGCTGCGCCCTGCGCCCGACCAGCGCCCAGATCCCACCGCCTCGCCGCTGCTCCCCTTCTCCGTTTGCCGGCGTGGGCGTCGTCTCCGGCGTGGGGCGTCGTCTCCGGTGTTTGGGGGGATTTTTTTTGGCTCACGGGACCTCTTCCTTTCTATTTAGCCTGGGGCTGAGTCAGCTTGGCCCATATCCACCGTGGCGCCAACAAAGCCGAAATACAGGCTGAAACCAGGACTAGGGGTCATGTGCATGGTTTCGATAGATGAGGGAGGTCGTTTCTCTGGTTTTCGGGATCAGGGACGCAAAGCTGATTATCGCAAAAGATGAGGGAGGTAAAGTGGACTTCTTCCTTGGTAAAATCAGGGGGGAAATGCGCTCAGTGGGAATCGGACTCATATACACCGAAGGCCCGGCGTCGAGGCAGCCCAAAGCAGGTGAAGGCCCGACATGGCCCAACGCAAGATGGACGATGGCCTCATGGTGGCCCACAGCAGGCCCAACAGCGCGCAGCCAAAAATTAACAAAAAAATCCAGTGCCTCGGCGGAGGTTCAAATAAGGATCGCCTGGTTTAGAAGCGCAAGTTCTACCACTGAGCTACGTGAGATTTTGTGATGAATCTGGTGGTCGGCGCTATATATTATGTAAATTATTGGTAAAATCAATTTGTGCATTGAGCTATGCATAACAAAAGTTTTTATATAACTAGGTGGCTTTTCTTTATTAACCCCTATCTCCAAAACAGAAAAATATGTGAAGATTATTGTTAAACTATGGCATTAATGTTCTCAGTTTATATTACCACTTATGCATGATATGATTTACGTTAAGCCATGGACACATTGACGTATAACTATACTCTCAACACTCTGAGAATTCTCGAGCTAAGGGCGCCTCTAAGTTCCAATAATCCTCTTGACGTATGCCATTTTGACGTGTGGTGTGAATGTGTTCTAATCGTCCGGTTTTACGTGCTCG